GCAGTGATTTTCAAAAAACTTCGTGAAAAATCGCCTTCGATGCTTGATACTTCGAACGAGGATCAAAACCACATTTGGGCACCACTTGAATTGAACTTCCGCTCCAATTTCGAATGCACCATTCCTCTTTTTTCCCTGTCTTGATGTCTTCTGCCAAGAAGGATAATCGTTGCGGGTTATTCTTATCGTATTTAAAGCGAGCCACATTGGGATTATCAGTGCCACATTCACAGCTTGTTGTCAATGTTTTGTGAACCACATAAACAACTAAAAGAAAGAAGTGTACAAAGAAAACAATGTGGATTAATAAAGGTGTATATATTTTTGTACCACTCTGTTCACGAAGAAGTGATTTCCGATTTGTCAAGAAATATCTACCAAATGAACATTAACTAATTATTGATGTTGAGAATATAACTGAACTGCGAATATTTTTTATACGTAGAGTGTCCAACTGTATTCTAATATAGGGAGAAACTGTATTCAATTAACTTCGATTTGTGTTTCTCATACTTGATTAAGCGACATTAATCGTGTCGAGTTCTATAATCACTGTTGAACTTTCTACGCGAGAAAAGATTTTCTTGCAGTCGACTGTCACACCAAAGGAAGACTTCAGTACTAATATCCGATTTTTACTTCTATTCGGAGACATCTCTACATTTAAATGCACAGATCGTTTTACAAAATTTCAAAGAAAAAAAAAGAGCGCAGCCAAAATATCTTACTTGGATCATACGGACCAGTACCGCCTGTATATGTACCAATTTCTTTGACATGCACACATTGACTGCTTAGAGGATGCCATATGATACCCGAATTGCCAACAAGAACAAAAAGAGAATTATTGCCTTGACAGATAAGTCGATCATCTTCTGGTGTAGATGCAGCACCCAGAAGTATTGTGCCTGTACAATTAAATAGAGTTAGCATACAAAGAAATAGAACAGAAAAAATAGTATACTCACATCCATGAAGTGTCGACCATTGAGGATCTGGATGCAGAGTATCGTTTGGAAAACGCCATGGTGTACTTGGAAACGCGCACCGACTATTTTTCAAGTCATTTCTGGTTGCCCATCGAAATTTGTGTATTTCAACTTTATATGGTATATGCAGAGGTATCGAATGTGTGATATCAATCAGTACAATGAAGACTTGCAAGAGACGGATGAAGAACAGCATCGTAGACGAAAAATATTCAGCTAAAAGAAACGCTTTCTTTGTCGATCGGTCATCCAACATCAACTTATATATTGCTTGATAGCTTTGTTTTAAATACAACGAATTAGATCGCAAACATTCGTCCGTTCATACGGCAGTGACCTCGTCGATATTGATTTAAGGCTTCAATATTATTGAAACCCATATGCATGTAACGAAATGAATAAACAGCTTATTCTCTTCCATTCAAACATGAACATGACAGTTCATTCATTTTTTATCTATATCGTGACCGCAACATCACGATCATTATTAAGAAAGCACTATATACAACAGAACAAGACTAAGTTTCGAATTGGTAGAAATCTCATTGTGCCAATAATAAGGTCACGACCTGTGTGCATCTTCTAGTACTATTGATTCATTGACGAGAGAGCATTCGGTCAATATTCAGCTGGATACCCTGACCTCATGACCGATAGTAACCACCCGTTCACTCTTTCCTATCATGTGAACTCTCTCTTTCTGCATGCCCTTCTCGTATATAAGCTTGTATCCAAGATGAGATGGACACAACTGGAGTGATGTAGTGTGTAGTTAACATCTGTACTGAGAGTGGCGGTAACGCTACTCCTCCGGTTTGGCATTGTGATCACAATAAAATATATGCTGCAGCAGTAACGAAACACTCCATCCTTATTTTCGTTACACTTATCAATAGAATATAAATTCTCTGATCGAAGATCTAATTATATTATCTGTCTTAACGAAATCTAACTCCAACAGAGCGGTAAATACATAGTTTCAGACGGTTGATACATTGATATGTGCAATACATGAACAGCAGAATAATACGAAGTTAGAATTAAGAATATGTCACAAAATATAGATTATTCAAAAAAAAAATCTGTGAAACAAAGATTCTAGAAAAAACTAATCTGGGTATGGGTGTGGGTGTAGATCTGTTATTCACTCATACCCACACCCACGATCTTTTTCTTAACGAAAAAAAGCCCGTTAGATTTGCGTGTGTTTAACGCGCTTTTAGGGTCAAAAAAGTAACATTAAATTTTGTTAAATCGTTAAATTTTTAACGAATTGTCACGCCACAAAACTTCGTTAAATTACTAAAAATTTTTACATGGGGAGTATCAAATCTGGGCTGTCGTGACGAATTTTATAAAGAAGACATAACCGTCCACTCAGGGTTGTCGTTCCATAAAAGTATAGTGTGTTTGAGTTAGATATACATGGCTGTCGTAACCAATCGTCTTGTTCCTGTATATTATCACTCATATATCTTCAGTAAAGTATATAGTACGATAACCCTGTATAAGGGATTGCGATAACTCTGTAAAATTCATTACGAAATGCCTGTAATTGAGGATGTGACGTTCTAAAATGGTACATATCAAAACATCAGTTACGATCACTCTATAAAATTCGTTACGAAACCCATAATTTTTTGTTACGAAAACTCTAATTCTGTCGTTACGAAACCTCTGTTTCGGGTTTTCATACTGTCAATTCGTTACGAAAGCCAGAAAACAAAAATCGTGACGAGTTGAAATTTTTCGATATTTCTTTCTTGTATGTTTTAAGTCTCTCTCTGTTCTCATTAACTCTTTTGTCTCTTATTCTCCTTTTTGTTCTGTTTCTTGGGTATTTATCTTTTTGACTTATTTCCCTATTTTAATTAAAAGTGCCAGCAATTTTGTGCCACCACAAGATTGAATAAGAAAAGAAAATTAGTTCCTCTTCTCACTGTTTTTATTCATCTTAGATAATTCTTGGTATGCAACAAAACAAGGGTGGGTGTGGGTGTGGGAGTGGGGTGTGGGTGGGTGTGGCTGTGGCTGTGGCTACGGCTGTGGCTGTGGGGGTGGGGGTGTGGAGAGGGTATAAGTATGGGTGTGGATTCGTCTCTTCATGCACAGCTACACCGACACCCACACCCATTGCTTGAAATGAATCAATTTATCTCTTGAGTGGCGAACAAATTATATCCTAAGTTACAGGATTAGTTGAAAAATTAGACTTTTCGGAAAAAATTGAAAAGTATGAAGATTTTGAAAGTTGTGTGTAATGCTTGTTTTAAATCATGATGATGTTGAAAGAGAGGTAAGCGTTTTTTACAGCGAAATATACCAATTTATGCAGAATCAGACAGTGAATCTTTCGATAAAAAAAATAAAGCGTGAGCGATAAGACAACGCTTAAAATGTTAACAAAATACTGAGACCTTCTTTTATTACGAGCTACTTGTTAGATTTAAATTTTAGTGTTAGTATACTAATCACTCGCATTGTGTGCCATCATAAAACACAACTAATTAACAAATAGACAGAATCATTGAACACGTTTTCTTTGTAAGGAGTATTCTTCATCTGATTTAAGAGCTTTTGACAAATCTTTTTTTATCGAATAAATATTTATCCATTACAATATATGATAAGGTGAAATTCAAAATAATTGTTGATTAAATCATAGCATTTAAAATTATTTTATTTCGTATTGTTCATAGGATTATCAATATTAGCTTTTTTCTTGTCTAGGAACAAAATCGTTTAAAAATAGATACCAACAATTAAAGAACACCTTCTCAGGAATTGTTTCAACCTGTAGAAAAAAGTCTCTACGACGAAAAAATCATTTTAATTGATGCATTTTCTCGAATTATACGTGTATTTTGCATCAACACAAGTATACACTAGTGTCCGGCGTGACCAACTTTTTTAGTCACGGTCACGTCACGGTCACGAGGGGTTGATCACGGTCACGGTCACGGTCACGGGCTGGGCTCACCGTGACCGTGACCGTGAGTCACGGCCCTTCTTTCTGGTTTCTCAACATGAAAAAAACCTTTCCAGAAAGAGCAATTGCAAAGCTTCCTTAGGGAAAATCTTTGATGTTTCTGTACCAGGTTCTTTATGGATTCAGTCAGCATCTTTCCAGAATTCACTCTTTTTTCCTGAGGAAACGATGAAATCCTGAAAGAAGTGTGTAGCCACGGAATTTCAAGATCCCAGCAGGATTCGAAAAAGGATTACATCAGGACCCTGACCAGGTTACCATTGTTGTTTAACCTGGAATAATTTAGAAAACAAGATGTGGTTGTGGGTATGAACAGAAGTTCTACTTGTATTAACTGACAAGAACAGTCACTGATATGCTCTCTTGTTGACTTTTTGTTGCGACGCTCCTCAGTTTTAGCTGCAAAAGTTGACTGGATCCTTGTATCAAGATCCGCATCAGATCTTGTCTAAAATTTGATAAAATCTTGAGAGAATCCTCTCCATTATCCCTGTTAGGATCCTAAGCAGGATCATGAATGAATCCTTGAAGGATCTTGTATTCATTATCTACAAACACATCTGGTCAGATACGGAAAGAAATCCTAAACAGGATCCTGTATAACTGTGAGAAATCCCGGCAGCAGGAATTATCAGGAATTGAGCGGGGATCCTGAAGAAAACTTGATAAGATCTTGGAGATTTAGAATCCTGACAGATCCTTGCAAAATTTCTAAAGGAATGAACAGGATTGAGACTAGGGTTCTGTTTGCTATTAAAAGTGATGATCGGAGGAGGGTAGCTTCGCGTAGGTGTCCGTGCTTCCCCTCAGGAGTTTCCAAAATCATGAATACTAGAAACTTCCAAATTATTCATAAAAACTGATGAGCGAGTGGGAGACGGTAGCTTCGCAAAGGTCCCCTTACTCCCCCTCAGGGATTTCCAAAACTTCGAGAAAGTTCCCGTGACTGACCGTGACCCAGCTCCAGTCACGGTCACGGTCACGGTCACGATCTTTAAAAAAAGTCACGCACGGTCACGGCCGTGACCGTGACCGTGACCGTGACTCACTGATAGTCACGGCAGTCACGCCGGTCACTAGTATACACAGGCATTTCTCTGAGGGTCCCATGGAAATCTTTATCATACACAGATCAGCACATGTATCTCTACTGAAGGTGCTCGGAAATCGTGATTCCACATGAAAAACACATTTCTCACTGAATGAACTTGACCGAATTTGGACGCAAATTCTCCAATTTCTCATTTGCGATTCAACCAGTACAGAATGTGTTTTTTCATGTGGAATGACGATTTTTGAACACACTCAGCTAGAAAGATATGCACTGATGTGTATGTGATAAAGATTTCTGTGGCACCTTCATCTTCAGGGAAAATGTGGATATATCTGTGCACTGATGTGAAATCTCGAAAAATACGAGTCAAAAACATCAATTATTCCGTTTCTGATTGCAGAGATTTTTTTCGCTAAGGGAAAGCAATTTTTTGGATCGGGTTATCTCACCATTGCTACGTATGTCGCAACCGTTTATGCACAAGCGGATGAAACTTTTCAAAGATCGCTTGTTAGTCGTAAAGAACTCAGAGTTCTCCATGAGTAATCTCGCTTTCCGAGCACCCACAGTGTCGAGAATGTGCTGTGTGCCTTCCGATCAAGCCATTACGAGGACCCTCGGAGCAGGACACATGTGTGTACATGTGTATTTATGAGAACAATGTCGAGAGATCACTAGGTGGTCGACAATGGACTGTCTTGAAGCAGTCTGGTCGAGATAAAATGGTCTCGAAACGGCTAGGGCTTAGATCTCACCGTCTTCACCTCCATGACTTGATGGTACTAATTCGAATTAAAACGAAAAAAAAAGTAATTATTCCAATGTTTCAAAAAATCTTCCACATATCGAAAAATGAATTCAAACGGTGGTTTTGGAATGTGTCGTACATTGTGTCGCAAAG